AATTTCAATCTGTTCATATCTATCTATCTATCTAGTTATATTCCATCATCGATGATCTAACCCCGAACTACCACCAATCTTGATGAACGGAGGTCTTCTCGGGGAAGGACTCTGCCTTGAAAGAATGCTGGGCCTCCCCCTCCCCCACCGACTTTAAGTTTTTGCTAAGGATGCAGGTAAAAAGGTTGGTTCCCTGTACCACACCACTGTGCCACTCCTGCTATACTCTACCTTTGCAAGAGCCAGAGCAGTCCAAAATAGAGTCAGATTTGAGCGGGAGAATACCGATAAAAAATGGATTCTGTTCATTGGTACACAGCAAATGGAAAAGAAATAATCAAACTCTTGTAAGCACGATCAATGGCGACCGTAGTAAAGATGCTGACAGCCTTAGATCGACAAGCTTATCAAAATGATAGGTGAAATAAATGATAGGTGAAATATACGATAGTGGTGAAATACTAGAAGGTCTCATTGATCAATGTTCATAGCGCTGTCAAAGAAACCAAGTGAAAATTAATTTGAATTCCATCGAACAATCAGCTGGATGAAGTACATAGCAAAACTTCTAATAGTAGCAGAAGTGGATCGGAAATAAGGCAAGAACAGTGCAAACTTTTTACAAGACGTTGCATCAAAAATTCAATGTTCATGATAAGAAACAGAGCCAACAATAAAAGGGCAGAAAGATCAATATATTTTTTATCATAGACCAACCGAATGAAATGTTAAGAAATTTTGATATACACAGTAAGGATATTCAAATAATCTGCAACCTGTGTAGATAACAACTAGATTTCATACGGCTAGAGAACAAGTTAAGTTAATGCACAAGGACATGAAGAGAGGGACAACAGCGAAGTATTTTCTCGTCGGATTTATTTAATCTGTACGGGTGAGATTATTCTAAATGACCAGAAATCCTTTGTATTACAAATATTTCCCATTTGTTTACGTTAAGAAAATATGAAAGATGGTTAATATTTTCTTAAACTTTGCTTTTGTGACTAGAATAATGATATTTCTGAGATTTACCTGTTCCCATTGGGAAACGACAGATGTTTCAAAAGTAGCATTTATTTATTCTAGAATTACAGACGAGAAATCACAAAAATGATGTCAGTCGTTTTACGCAATTTACGCTTATACTGTAAATCAATTTCACGAATCAGGCCCCAAATATAGTCTCCCATCATGTTTTCGATAGACGATCCAGTATATCCAGTATATTCTGGTGGAAACGCTCGTCTTCTTCTTTGAGTACGCCCCCTGTCCTTCTTAAATTTATCAAGATGAGCGTCAAGGATATATGGACTTTGACATCCTGCAGCCCATTTTGCCGTAGTTCTTCCACCTACACCCCGACCTTTGATCTGTACTTTTGACCAATTCTTCTCTAGCTGGAATCCGGGCCCCAGCCACACTCCAAGAATGGGGACGAGTCCATCTGAAGAGCAACCCACCCACCTAACCGCAAGCCGGAATTGCGGTTAATCTTGGCCCTGTGACCTTTTCGTAATGTTCAAGCGTCTTCTGTAAACATCTAAATATCGCTGCAGCACGTCACGAAAATGGATAAGTCATCGGCGTACGCGGAGACCCTAGCTGGAGGGACAGCAATTCCACGTAGGGTCGGGCTGATCGCCCCGTCAATAGTTGCGAAAATGGGCAACCATGAATGGACCGAGACAGCGCAAAAGCGCGCGGACGCTTTCCGTTCACCTGTACCACATCACTGAGGGAGCGTTACAGGAGGCTTAATCAGAAGAAGTTGGGTTTGATTCCGACGGCCTGCAAGACAACAGTCATGTGCCGATGGTCAATCTCGGCAACTGACTCCAAAAGATCCGTCAGGATCTTGGCCCAAATCCTCAACTCTTTAACGCCTCGCACATGTCATCGGTCGACCTCAGAGTACGCTCCTCCGGGGTCTTTACCTCGATAATGTATCGATCAGAACCTCGACAGATCGCTTCCTTGCGCAATTCTGCGCCCATATTTACGGCTTCGTTAGACATCTTGTTTAACTCATGCTCAACTACCTGATCCTGGTAGTGCTATCTAGCCGAGCGCTCCAGAGCCTGCCTAGCTAAACATATCTCTAGGGAATCCCACCAGCCTCCGCCTGGGACTTTAGAGCCTTCACCTTTTTAACCTTATCTAGTGCGAGACGCTGGTTATATTCGGTGTTGATGGACCTAATACTATCCTTAAGCCATTCCTACCACCCAATTCCTAGATTAATTAGCTGTTGCCGGAAGTCCTGCCTGTTCATTAAAAACAGGTTGAACTTATGAAAGATTGTCTAGCATTTAACGTTATCCGGGCACGGGTCTATGGTCTGAATATCCTAACCAGTGTCAAATGAGACAATCAAATATCAGCCCTTCTCACTAACATTCTATCCAGGTACCTGGCTACCCGGGTAGACGGCTACTTAAGTGCTCACGTCCATATCTGTCCAGGGTGATCGACCAGCTATCTATCGACGAGACCAACTCGCCGATCAGATCAACCAGGCTACGATTTCCCGACCTCCGCCCTTTGCCTATGTTGGGGTCCAGGATGACATTCCAGTTTGCCACTAAGACTAAGCGCGATGTATCCACCAGGAATGGCCCTAACTGACGGAAAAACGAGACACGCTCCTCCCTCTGATCGTTAAGTGCATAAACGGCAACAATGTTCACGGCAACTTGACGCTGCTGTTGCTGATCGTTTTTCAGCTCCTGCTACTTTTTTGAGCACCGGCTTCTTTGTGTCCTTTGGAACATCCTGTTGGTGGGGAGGGGTTTCAGCTTTTGATCCCCTCTGTAATACTTCTGTCTATTCACTTGGGATTTTGGTGGTTTTGCGTTTGTCTCATTCTTTCCTTGCTTGGAGATCGTTGAGGTTGTGGTGCAAGTTTCTTCCCAGGGTACGGGTTTGAAAGGAGTCCTGCGGCACCACAGGCCCTGCAGAGATGACGGCAACCTTCTACCACGACGTAGATTGGGCGCATTTGGGATGTTCAAAAAATCCTTTCTGTTAACGGTCACCATAATTTAACATCTCTAATTGCTATTTCAGCTTTGCTTTTCACCGCCAAGACATCATTTACTTTTCCAAATTTCGCAAAGAAAAACGTCAGTGATGAACAACGACACTCCACGCAAATTTACTCTTGTTTTCCTAGTTCCTATATATTCACATTGAGGACATATTGAGGATATTGCTGGCCATAGATTTTGCTGAGTCTTCGGTCGCCAACAGGATGTCTCACATGCCGTTACTTCTACTGGCCAATCCTTTGGTTCTAATATTGAGGATTTTTAAGGCTTCCTCCATAGTTTCCCAGTTGACGCCAATCAATTTGTGCGTTTAAACATCCGTAGTCCACAGGGAAATAGTCTTAGTATTCCTCACCTCTAGAAGCGACGCTACCGGTTATATCTGCTTTCCCGAAATATAATGTTCAAATTTCTCGTTCAGATCCCTATAATACTCAGGACGCCTAATTCCCGGGGCCATCGACCCTCCCAGCTGAAAGACCTGCCGCAGCTGGCGCCGACTCGAGAAGCCAGGACTTCACTACTTTGCTGGCACTCCAACGACACCGCTCTCAAACAAAAACAACTCAACAAACAAGAACTCACGAAGGAAGAACAAAGCAAGTAAACAAAACACAACAAATGTACACATAATCCACCGAAGGCGAAGACGCTCCAGCTAGTAGTAAACTGAACTGCTGAGCTTAAATTTCCTGTATTTATAGAGGAATATATATATATATATATATATATATATATTGCCATGTATGATGCCAGAACATTCTAGAAATTCTTGAAACTTTTAGAAATTTCTTGGAAGTTCTTGAAACTTCTAGAAATTTCTAGAAAATTCTACTTCAGCAAATCAGCGCTGAATCTGTCTGGAAAATCATAGAAAATCGGTTAGTTTCAAAACATAGATGTCCAGGTCATAAAATCAACGTATGAAGGGAATAATAGTCATTTCCTTTGCTTTCAAGACAGAAGAAATTAGGATGTAATATATAATATATAACCTTAGACAAAAAATTCTACTCCCGCAGACGACATATATGACAAAATATAATTTTTAGATATGCTCTATTTATCAGGTAAAGTGCTCAATATCCAGAATAGAATGTCTGTAAATATAATAACTGTGGACAATAATATCAACATTGAATAGCGACAGTATATTTCGTTCTTGAATGGACTCTTCAGATCATATATATATATATATATATATATATATATATATATATATATATATAATCGTTTAGAAATCCAAATCTTGTTAGAAGAAAGAATTATCTAGGCTCATTTTCAAGCGACAAATTCTGAATCTAAAATATTTCTAAAGGAACCCGGCGGGTGCAGACATAATATTCGGTTGTTTAGATGTTTGGTTTGCTAGTATATATATATATATATATATATATATATATATATATATATATATATATGTATTTAGGCAGCAATCCTTCATTTATGCACGTTTCATTAAAAACGACAAACACTTGTTCGAACACAAGAAATATTAGATAATAAGCTTAATCGCAGTACCTTGTCTGTCGTTTTTAATGAAAAATGCATATATATATAAATGTGTGTGTGTGTGTGTGTGTGTGCGTGTGTTTTATTCTTATTCATCTCGTTATCATTTCACTGCCCCCTTCTTGCTCTCCTCAATGAACATTAAGTGATGGCAACAATGTAAACGAAAAAGACACGCTTTCCAGGACAATAGCTCATTATTTTCTATTAGATGCATACGTAAGTAAACAGAATGTTTCATACCGACAAAAAGGGATAAATATTGTTCTCTCCCTTCTTCGCTTTGCAGAGAAAAGCACAAAGTGATTGATTGGTGTGCCTCTGAATTGTATCGATCTTTGGGTGCGACTCGAGATGAAAGCAATCGCAGTAACAATAATGACAACAAACCACATAGGACCACGCCCATTGATAGGTAACTATTTTTAATAGACAAAATTATCTAAAGAGAGAGAAAGATAGTGAGGGGTAGAGAGAAAAGTAGAGAAAATGAGAGGGGGTTATGGAAAGCGGGAGAAGAGAGATGATAGGGCGATGATGAGAAGGAAAGCAAATAACGAAGGTGTGGTGGAGGAAGTGGATGAGAAAAAGGCGGGAGAAGGATGTAGGCCTGGAAGAAGACGTTGCTAAAGATAAAAAAGAAGAAATAGCAAGAAAATAGAAGGAAAAAAGAAAATGGAATAAGAAATAAAAGAAATAAACGATACGAAGAAAACAAGCTGAAGAAGAAGAAAGAGAAGTTGAAGAAGAAAAAGAAGTTGAAAAAGAAGAAAAAGAAGCTGAAGAAGAAGAAAAGAAAGAAAAAGAAGCTGAAGAAAAAGAAGTTGAAGAAGAAGAAAAGGAAGAAAAAGAAGTTGAAGAAGAAAAAGAAGTTGAAGGAGAAAAAGAAGTTGAAGAAGTTGAAGAAAACGAAGAAAAAGAAGTTGAAGAAGAAGGAAAAGAAAAAGTAGAAGAAAAAGAAGTTGAAAAAGAAGAAAAATAAGAAGTAGAAGAAAAAGAAGTTGAAGAAGAAAAAGAAGTTGAAGATGAAGAAAAAGAAGAAAAAGGTAAAGCGAAGTATAAAAAATTTATAAAAAAAAGAAACTGGAAAATCGAATAAATAAAAATAAATAGAATGATATAAAGAAGAAAGATAAAACCATGAAGAGTGCAAAAGAAAAACAAAATGAAAAAACTTGAAGAGAAAAAGAAAAAAATGAAAAAATAAAATAAATAAGGAAAGGAGAAAGAAATAGAGGAAAAGAAAAAATCAAAAAGAGAAAGAGTTAAATGAAAGCAATGAAGAAAGAGAAAAAATGTTGGAGAAAGAAGAAAATGGTAGACAAAAAAAAAAGGAAGAAAAGGCGGAAAACGAAATAAAATGAAGAATAAAAAGAAAAGAAGTGAGAAAATAGAAAAACAGAAGAGGGGGAGTCGTAAAGGAAAGTGAATCTGCAAATACAATACGAATATAGAAAGAAAGGCAGTTATTAAGTGAAGAGAAAAAGGAAAGATTAATAGGAAGTGACGAGTGGAGGTAGTAGTACAGAAGATAAATGAACAAGAGAATTAAGAAAAGAAAATGAATGACAACAACAGGCGAAATAAAAAACAAACTGAGAAAACAGGGAAAAAATGCTTTCTTTCTTTCTTTTTTCAAATGATTGACAACAGGATCTTCAACGTCAAAGAAGGCGATATTTCTGATGAAATCCGAAGCGAAAAATGTTTCATAACTTCCAACTGATTTGCAATTTCAGAACTGGATTTCAGGGGAGAAAAGAAATTGAAAATTCAAACCGACACTTCTTTCTCGGACAAAAGAGGAAAAGGACAAATAATGACCTTTGCAAAATTTGTCCTTTCAGGAATTCGAACGAGTTTCAGATTTTGGCACATGAGTAGAAATTAAAAAAATTCGACATAGTTGTGACGTCTTTTCTCGTTTGAATGACAGATAGTTATTAATTAGATACTTGAAAAATAAAAACAATAATTTGCCACTTGAGAGAAAGAACTATCAAAATACAGAGTATGATAGAATTAAAAATTCTTCCGTGTTCAGGTACGAACAGAAAGAGGTAATCAGTCAAATAGCTAGCTACTTACATATGAACTGATCGATTTATATATATATATATATATATATGTGTGTGTGTGTGTGTGTGTGTGTATATACATGTATGTGTGTGTGTTTGTGTATGTGTGTTTAGATGTATATAGGATAAAAATGTAGTTTTAATGTGTGCTGTATTTTTAGTTAAACGTGGTCAATATCAAGGATAGATCATAGGTAAATATAAAAGCGGACACTGAGGTTAAAAGCGAATGGTGACAGTTTGTTTCAGGTCTTAACGCAATCCTCGGGCCATGTGTGTTGTCTATTAACTATATATATATATATATATATATATATATATATATATATATATATATATATATATATAGATATATGCTGATCAATGGAGCATAATGGGCAGCAAAATCTATTGTATTAATCCTAACGGTTATTGGGTATTCAGTAGGATCTACAATTATTTCGACTCAATAGACTTTAGAATAATTTGAAAATTAATCGGTACCGCCTATCAAATAGCCGTTAGGATTATATAATGGACCTTCCTATCCATAATACGCTGCTGACCATATATAGTCGTAGCTACACTCAACTGAGATTGCGTTCAGGCATGAAACAAACTGTCGCCGCTCGGTGTTAACTCAGTATCCACATTATATATATATATATATATATATATATATATATATATATATATATATATATATATATATATATACGACTCTCCCGTCGAATTCGACGTATGAGGGTCAAGCAGATCAGTTCCTAGGAAACCGACAGCCCGACAACAGCACATGTGATTTTGATTATAGTGGTGAAGGTCTCGTGCAGGACCATCCACAATTTTTGAAGGGCCGAATACAGAGACCTGGTGCACTACGTGCCACAAGGTCCCCCAACGACCCTTCGCAGGTTTTGAATTCAGAGTTGTCCTTCTCCCGCCATCCAAGGCTATAGAACCCAGTCTGTCCTGCTATTTATCCATAGCTGGCGGGAGAAGAAGAGGATTCACACCTTTCCCAAGGGTATTAGCACGTAAGTGAATGTAATGGATTCGATTCCTCAATCCAAGCCGCTATCCATTACCCCACCAAGCCCTCATTCATTCATTCATATATATATATATATATATATATATATATATATATATATATATATATATATATATACACATATATATAGGGACATTTCATTGAATACGACAGACATAGTGCCTTGATTTAGTTTTTTATACAATTTCTCATGTGAGATCTATTTTTTTTCTTTTTCAGATGATAAATTATATAAAACCTGTCCAATTTTTCTTTTTTTCTGGTAGGTCTTCATGAGTTTTTAAATGAGACCTAATTGTGGTACTGGTCCCTATTCATAACATACTTGTTGACAACACAAATATAATAGCATCATCTACATGCAAAAGAAAAAAATGCTAAAAATAAAGGAAGCCTTATTAATATAAACAAAAAAACAACACTCAGTAATATCAACTATGAACATGGACACAATATTTTGACCGTGTTTTGAAAATGAAAACATATAAATACATACATACAAGAAACTATTTCTTGTTAACAGTTAATATATTTTAACTTAAAATGGCTAAATGTATAGCTGAAAAGCGCTCGGATAAAAAGAATAATTGGACAGTTTTTATATAATTTATCATCCGAAAAGAAAAAAAATATTATATCACATGAGAAATTGTATAAAAAACTAAATCAAAGCACCTTGTCTGTCTTATTCAATGAAATGTGCATGAAAAAGTATTGCTGCCTAAACACACACACACACACACACACACACACACACACACACACACACACACACACATATATATATATATATATATATATATATATATATATATATATATATTTAAGTACTTCATCGAGTCTGAAAATTGAAACCCTGACAGTTAGGTGGATGCGCACTGCTGATGAGTCCCAAATATAGGATGAAACGGCCGTCCAGTGCTTTCTGCATTCTGTTGAGGTTTCTTTCAGACTCGATGAATTATTTAAATATATATATATCAAATCCTCCTCATAATTTCTATCATGTACATCATTCCTTTAACCGGCTTCTAATGCTCTAAAGTGAGCGGCTTGGTGAGAGTAGTCGTGGCTCCAAAGGGCACAGTCCTATGGTTAGAGAGAACTCAGTTGAGTTCCACCACAGAATATGTGAGTGAGCGGCGCTTTGTTGAGTCTGATTTGCAATCTCTTCGTCATCGAGGTATGACGTTTGCTTGATAACCTAACTGTCCGGGTTTCAATTCTCGGTAGTGGATGCGCACTGCTGATGAGTCCCAAATATAGGACGAAACGGCCGTCCAGTGCTTTCTGCATTCTGTTGAGATTTCTATCAGACTTGATGAATTACTTAAATATAATTATCAAATCCTCCTAATAAATATATATATATATATATATATATATATATATATATATATATATATATATATATATATATATGAATGCCTCCATTTATCTTCTCACAGGGTCACAGACTCAATAAAGGTGCTTTGGGGAGGTAGTGCTATATAGATAGATAGATGGGTTGAGAGAGAGAGAGAGAGAGAGAGAGAGAGACAGGGAGAGAGCAATAGTAATGGTAAAACAACAGAAATGTGGTTCTACAGAAAGATACTGAGAATGCCATGGACGGAACATGTGAGCAACTTTTTTTAAAAAGTTTTAGACAAAATAATAACAAAAAGGAAACATATTCTTAGCATCCAAAAGAGACAGCTGACATTTATAGGGCACATGATAAGAAAAGAGAGCTTGGAGAATTTGACACTCACAGATAATATTGAAAGAAAGAGGGGACGGAGAAAAGCGACGCATCATCTAACGAGCTTGTACAAATGGTTGGAAGAACAGGGATTAGGAGAGATAACGAATAGACAAAATTTCCTAAGCTACAAAGGACATGAAAATGTGGAGAGTCATAATCGCACACCTCTCGAAGAGTCAGGGAACATGCAAAAAGAATATTAGCCATTTCCTTATAAGTAAACCTTGGGCAATTATTGACTGAGCAGTTAGTGTTACTGTGGGCTACAATTTAAAAATATTTCTATAAAAATAATTTTTCAGGAAAATAGGTTTCTCAAGTTCCCTAACTGTTATCGCTCTTTCCAGTATTTCTGGGGGTTTCCTTCCTTGCCTTTTGTTTGAGGCAGTGTGGAATGTCAACATTTTGACAAATGTGCAAAATTAACATTCAAGAAAGGGAAAATTGCAGAAACACTCAACAGAGATTAGGGAACTGAAACAAGAAGCCTTATGCCTAGAAACCAGCAAAAGAGAATGGAATATGGCATAGCTTAATGAAGGGGACAGTAAGAAAAGAATACTATAGGCGTGGGCGTCTGATGTTAAATGCCCAGTTGAATTTACAAAACAGAATATCAGCTATAAAGACTTTGGCTGTCCCTGTGGTGTAATACAGTTTCAACATCCTTAATTGAGCTGACATTAAGCGAATGGATGTTAAAACGAAAAAGATTCACACTTGCCATCGCCTGCATCATTCTATGGCTGAAGTTAATTGCCTGTATGTACCCAAATCTGTAGGAAGCAAAGGATTAGTTCAAGTACACTCTTGTGCAAATTAATTGAAACAAGCAATTAGTTTCCTTTCTATCAACATACGGTCAGTTTTAGACCCACTGGAGTGACAGGGTGTAATCGATTTCTATTTTTTCTCAGATTAGTTCATTTGTAATGGTGTGCAGTAATATGAATTTATTTTCGAACTATATGATGAAATTTGTTTGCCCTTGAAAAATATTGCGTTATCCGTGATTGCATCAGATTTTTATCATGCCCAGACACTATTGTCTCGACTGTCAATTAGTTGTCTGACGGCCATTGTTTGCGATGGACGTTGCTACAAGGCGCGTGCGAAAATTGTAACGCTACACGAACACAATGGCAAGCTTTACCAGTGACCAAATCAAAGTACTGTAGTGATTTTCCAAGCGTAGCTTGGATGTGGCACAAGGCCGAAAGTAAGAGGCACCCAGTAAGGATCAAACTCACTACTCAGTCGTAATTGTTCTAGCGAGACAAGCTTGCTAACCATTACACTACCTCAAGGTGCCCAAATCAAAGTACTGTAGACTGGCCCGGAAACTCTCCTGATTTAAATCCAATCGAGAATTTGTGGTCAGTCTGTAAGGAACGACTTCCTGGAATGGACATACGAAGTACTAATATGTGTACTGTAGCATGTTTCATTGGAAAAATACGTAAAAAGCAAATAATAACGGAATTGTTTCAGTTAATATGCACACGGGTGTAGAACTGTTTTACAAGACGACAACAATCGGTCTTCAAATATAGCTGATAACAACAGAAGTCTGACTAATGATCTGTGTCAATGAATATGAAAGAAATATGAAACTTTATTCAGTAATAAAGGAAGCCAACAAATTCAAAAGGAAATTTGCAGTGTTTAAAACAGGAAGAAAAAAAACATAATACATTTATTGCAGCGGCAAAGAACCTAGGAAAGAAGGTAAAAGCAAATGCAATGTACCAAATGCAGAAACGATGACAAGGTAAGCCTCAAACAATTGTTAAACAAGCTGATATAGACAAACCCCGTACCCATCAGTGGTTATATAGTTCTGGGTTAAAAGCTGAAACCGGAGGTTTAATTTTTGCTACACAAGACCAATGATTGCTAAGTAGAAATTACGAAGCACACATACTGAAAAAACACATGTTAACCCGAACTGCAGATTCTGTGATAAATAATTGTTCATAAAGAATTCCTCATAGGGTATCAGATTGCACCGGTGTGATAGAGTGGGCCAATATCTGCACAGAAAATATGCTACTTTTACAGGAAGGAAACAACAAGACCCTGTTACAGAGATAGGACCTGTAATCATTTTATGAGACAGACAGAACTATCAAAGCTAATCATCCAGACATCATGAGCAAAGACAACAAAAACAAAATGTATCTTCTTATTGATAATGGCAATTCCTCTAGACTGTAATGTATCGTTGAAGATCTTCAAAAAAAAAAAAAAAAAAACTATCAAAATACAAGGATCTTGATGTGGAAATCTTTAAAATGTGGTACATGAGGACATCAATAATTCCAGTTGTAATTGGAGCACTCGGATTCATTGGAAAAGGTTCCGATTGACTCACTGATGGGATTTCCATGCCTTAAAGAAATACAAAACGTTGTACTCACAAGTACAGCTCACACTTTACGTAGAGCTTTATTTATGTAAAATATGTGTAATCTTGTTTATTTTTCAAAAATGACCACTGGAAAATGATATGAAGTTATTTCTGACCTTGGGTCTGTGGTTGCGAACGGAAAGGAAATTTGTATACAACAGAAATCAATTGAAATAATAATAATAATAATAATAATAATAATAATAATAGCAACAACAACAACAATGAGAAAAGGGAGATATATAAGAAGACAATGATAAACAATAAAAAGACTGGAAGCTAATAGAGCTGAGTGTTTGGTGCCCATAGAAAATAGATATGGTTGGGTGCGAATAGGGATTCATTGAAATATTCGCAAACAAAGTTTGATGGTATCAGTCATTGTAACAGCATCGGAACGGCCCTGATGATAGTTTAGACGAGATGGATATCGGAGAGGCGATAGAATTACAATCCAGGCAAAACACTTGTGTCATAAACACAGCTGAAGCGACTTGCTGTCACTCTGGTTCCAACGTTGACCATCAGCCGAACGACGACGAGTTTGAAGTTGCAGATAAGAGCAATTACAACAACAAAACAACAAAAGAGTTGAAAGGATGGCAGTGAAGACAGACATCATAAAATGGGGAACGGGAGAAGATAAGAGAGAAGAAAGGATTAATCATAGAAAATGGCAAGTTTGATGGATAGCGAGTGTGTGGATGATGAGCGAGAGAGGAAAATCGATTGGGTGAATGAATACAGAGATCGATTGGGAAGAAAGTCTGCACTGCCAGAAGCCTTTTAACTTCTCCTTACACTCGAGGAACTCAGGCTAAGTGTCGGGTCGGTGCACGAAACAAAACTATTCATGTTCAAAATTAATCATCTATCTATCTATCTATCTATCTATCTATCTATCTATCTCAGTTTGTTCATATTAATCTATCTATCTATCTATCTATCTATCTATCTATCTATCTATCTATCTCAGTTTATTCATATCTATCTGTCTATCTATCTATCTATCTATCTATCTATCTATCTATCTGAATTTGTTCATACTTATCTATATCTGTCTGTTCAGATCTATCTCAACCTGTTCATATCTATCTATCTATCTATCTATCTATCTATCTATCTATCTATCTGAATTTGTTCATACTTATCTATATCTGTCTGTTCAGATCTATCTCAACCTGTTCATATCTATCTATCTATCTATCTATCTATCTATCTATCTATCTATCTATCTATCTCTGTCTGGTTTTATGTATGTTTCAAATTTCCAAACAACAGCAAAATCCAGGCTTCACATTATCAAAACTGACATCTGAAAGTTTTGGTGGTTGGCACAATATTAATTTCCTTGCCTAGTAGCAGTCATGTACTTGTAAAATCTATCGCTGCATTGCGTAAGTCTAAACCGTATATATTTCTGTTTATACCTATTTATATTTAGGATTCGAATGTTGATTATCTATCTATCTATCTATCTATCTATCTATCTATCTATCTATCTATCTATCTATTCCAGTTTCTTCATGTCTACAGCTAACCGCTAAATTATTTTGCTTATTTTCCCAATGAATGCTGCCGAATTTGACTTGACGACATTTATCGATTCAATCACCTTTAGTAAAATAGTTTAGTAAGTGTATTAGAATAATTATTTTATTTTTATAGTTACCCGTACTTCTTTTATTTCTTTCTTTTCGGTCGGCTTCGATAACACTTCCGTGTCTCTCACCTGATATTTTTTGAACCTTTATTCTGTGATAATTCCAAATCATTGTCCAATTGGAATTCAAAGTCAAATAATGGAGATCATTCTATGACTCTGACTTGATTCTTCTTCGATTATTTTGAGATGGTCATTCGAACTTTGTTTCGATTCGTTTTCTTGGTGAATCGACTACCATGCTGGACAGCAGACAATGAAAGAGCTTTTCTTTCGAAATAAGGCACTGATATTTCAAATCCCGGGGTAAAAAATTCGAATGTTGATTATTCATTAGGAATCAAAAGTAGAATCAAAAGCATGGCTTCCGTGACTATCACTAGTCTTGTAAACCATTACGGTTGCAGGGGCAACCACGTGTACTTCAAACACAACATCAGTGATCAAGATAGGTTGATGACGTCGTTACAACGACAGAAAACTGAAGAAAGCCGGATGTAAAACGGTCGAAACCTTGTGCGTATAACATCCAAGATAAGAATGCTGTTTCGAATAGTAATGCATATAATAATGACAGTTATACCCATTATGATCTGAAGTAAAATCGAAAATCTCTAGATCATCATTCTTTGACATAATAAACAGACGATGAGATTGTACTTTTTGATTTTTGGTGAAAGCTCCAATTCAATAATAGTTTAAATAATATCAATACAAGTAATATATATATATATATATATATATATATATATGCACTCCTGGTCAAAATCTTAAGACCAGATACAAAAGAGTTAAAAAAATACTGTTACTTTAATCGAAATATATTTGTGAAACATTTACATTTAATTAGAAAATGTAGTTTATCAACAACACAAGTGAAAATTTTAAGCTTTTAATTGATTAATTGAAACAAACATTGAAAAAGTATTTTAGGTTGCTCATAAAGATAAGAATATGTATGAAAAAAAATAACTGGACAGAAATGTTAGAAATAGTCAGTGTGCTCATAGCTTCAGGCGTGTAGACATCTATTTAGTGAGGAGTAGTGGATAGCGGTTCATATTGAGGAATTGGAGAGCAGATTTCGAATTCTAGTCGAATCCATTACATTCATTTACGTGCTAATAATCTTGAGAAAGGTATGAATCCAGTTAAAGGTAAATGGCAGAAAGAATGGGTTCTATAGCTTTGGATGGCAATTGGTCTAGGAGAAGGACAACTCTGAATTCAAAACTACGGAAGGTCGTTCGGGGAACTTGTGGCACGTAATGCACCAGGTCTCTGTATTCGGCCCTTCAAAAAGTGTGGTTGTTTCTGCATAAAGCCTTCATCACTATAATCAAATCTCATGTGCTGGTGTCTAGGCTGTCGATTCCTAGGAACTGAGCTGCTTGACCCTCATACGTCAAATACGACGGGAGAGTCCACCATATATATATACTAGCAGCATGGCCCGGTGTGGCTCATGCTTGATTCAAAAATCGTACGACTCATACAGCAATCGCTATCACTTGACTTAAAATATTTTTGCCCTTCCTTGCCTTTAAAGGAGTGCCCTTTGCCGTGCTGATGTTACTACATGCCTTACTTCTTGCCTATCTCAAACTGCAAATTTTTTCTAAGCTCTATACTAAACATTAAATCTGTTACGAAAAAAGAACTAAACAAAATGAACACAAAACGATCAGCTTTAAAAAAGGACTCGTAACTGGAATAACCGAATGAAAAAAGAATGTTAACATTAAATACTTTTTCACACCCAACCCAGTTCTGCGGAATCAGACGTTGAGTTTAAGCAAGCGAATGAGCCAATTGGAGTAAAGTGCCATGCAGATTTAAGTTTTTCCCACTTGTGACGAATGCAGCTATCGATTTTTTTTGCATGCTAGCATGCTAGTTAACATTCGTGTCAGTCAGCTGTTGGCTCTCACGCTGGCCAATAGAATCTTCCTGCCTATTCGTGGCAGCCAGCTATTGGCTAGAAGAAAATGGCCACAAACTACATGAAAACTGCCGTAGAAGCATGAAAAATTGATTATTTCCATTATCGATGGGAGTTGGGAAATGCAAAGTCGGTCTTGGCCTTTTCTGCTAACTTGGAGTATATGCATGTAAATTTTGGTGCAAATCCGTCGAAAATTGTAGCCGTGCATTCGTTACACACACACACACACACACACACACACACGCACGCATCCACATCATCCTTATATATATATATATATATATATATATATATATATATATACACGCTAGCACGAATCCTGCCGGAGAACCCATATTTCTCTAATAAAATTTCTCGAATATTCAGGGCGGTGAAAAAATATAAATAACCACTAAAATAACCTTTAAGTAATAAAAATTTGACGGATTAATAAATAAAGCAATTACAACACAACAACAATACAACAGTGAATTCACTGTTGTATTGTTGTTGTGTTGTAATTCCTTTATTTATTAATCCGTCAAATTTTTATTACTTAAAGGTTATTTTTAGTGGTTATTTATATTTTTTTCAAAACATAAGACTATCGAGATAGTTGTCAGCGGCTCATAAAAACACCCGCCTCTGTGTTTAAAAAAATGAGATATTTCTATGTAAAAAATAAAAAAAATGCGATATTTTAAGCTAAAAGTAAATAATGTCTGTTTCAAATCAGATTAGACATTAAATCAGTTAATCTTCCTCAAATAAAGTTTCAGAAAAGTATATTTTATTTCTGAAATATTTTTTAATAACGAGAATAAAAATATTAGAATGCACAGTGAAAACAGACATGGTGAAGGGAAAAATCTATTCCTTTCTTCATATATTGAGAAAAAGTGGAAAAGTTTGTTTGTCGATGACAACGCATTTCACCGTCGTTTCGTAGTTAAGTAGACATTTCTATGTGAGAATTTCTAACTAAAGCGAAATGCATTGCCAATAAAAAGATTTTTCCCTTCACCATGTCTGTTTTCACTGTGCATTCTAATATTTTTATTCTCGTTATTAAAAAATATTTCAGAAATAAAATATACTTTTCAGAAACTTCATTTGAGGAAGATTAACTGATTTAATGTCTAATCTGATTTGAAACAGACATTATTTACTTTTAGCTTAAAATATCGCATTTTTTTAAACACAGAGGCGGGTGTTTTTATGAGCCGCTGACAACTATCTCGATAGTCTTATGTTTTGATTTTTTTTCTACGAGGAGCTATCTGTAAAATTTACTTGAGGAATATAACGTGAATTCCTGTTGTATTGTTGTTGTGTTGTAATTCCTGTGTATTTTTTAACGACTCAGTAATCTTAAAAGTTTAGGAAAATATTCTAATTAATCTAATGTTTTATTGAATTTCAGATACTTTGACTTTAATTTTACTAAATTTATCGCTTTTATTTTCTGATAATGTCGTGTATTGACATTCGTATTTATAAAAAATGGGCACGTTTAGACATACACAAAAAGAATCAACATTCTTTTCAAAATATTGAGCGTCACTGAATTATAGTAAGCTTTTCCATTGATGATGAGTAAATATGTTTTTTTACTTAATACCAATATTACCTAACCGGCACAAATTCATACAGAATTTTAAAAGATTTAAAACTATATAAATTATTAAAATTAACTTAAAAAAAATGAAAACAATTCTTGTAAAAATTCATTATTCATAAAAAAATTCTTAAGACTATATTATCTATAATATTTATTTATAAAAGTAATTAAAATATTTTCTAATGAAAAAATATCTTTTATTGTATTTTTTATTTTCGGCAACTGAGTGTCATGTTTTACCCAAAGAAAATTTGATTTAAAAGAAAAATGATTTAAATTTTTATTGTGTTTATACGTAATATAAACATGAAGCTTTAAAAAAAAAAAAAGAAGATTTTCTCGATATTTCATGAAATCAAATGTGTGTGTTTGGGGTGGGGTGGGGGTTAACAGATGTAAAAAGTGAATTTATCAAGATTTTCTTGAAAAAAAGAAAGATTTCTAAAAGAAGTTTCATTTGTGAATAAGTTCTGTACGTTTCATTAAAATCCGTGAATTATTTTTTACTTTTGCCATAATTTCCAAATCAATGTGTTTCTCACCACAAGAAGACACTCAAATTTCCTATATTCCCTGATCATCCATTGACGAAAAAATAAATAAATAAATAAAAAACAAGATAATTTCGAACTCGCTAAAAAGTATAACGAACATAATTTATAATCAAAAAATCCTTTGGTCTTTCCTCTTAATAGTAACATAAAGATTTTGATGATAAAAGTTTGCTTTTAAAAGTAAGTCTGGGGCATTTTTTTCATCATGTATGATATTTTTTAGTTTATTGTTGGAGGTACATAATGAGGTGCATCCCCAAATTTTTAGACTTTGTTAGGAAGAGCAGTTATAACTTTCCTAGATTACGAAATTTTAGTATATCATTACTATATAGCTGACCTTCCAATTTTTGTTATTCTAGACTGAGAAGGTCGGCTTTAACAGCTTTCCAAACAATCTGGACCTAAAGGCAATTTGCAAGCTCGCAATGCAAAACCTTTTTGTACTGACAGAGATATGCATCCAAACTATTCCTCACCTGCCCTACAGTCTAGGCATTGAAACCTTTTTTTTTTTGTTCCCAAAGAACTTCAGAGTCAGTTGTTTTGACGAGAAAATGATGGAGGTTGCGGCAAGGGGCCTGGACACATTTTAAATGTTTTATATGGGGCCTTCTCGAAGTGTATTGGAATCAGGGTGCTGCTTTGAAAGAGATTAGAGTTTTGTACTTCTTTGAAATTGATGTAATGAATATGCATACACCTGGGTTCCAACTCACAGTAATATGATTGGCTGGTGTCAGCCATAAATACAGA